GAATCTCCCTAGTGTTGTAATTTCAGGCTTTGTTTTCAAAGTATACTGTTCCTTGTTTCTTCAAATAGTTGTTAAACCTATAATAAAATATATGATGGTAAATGGACTGTAGCTGACTTGACTGTAGGTTATCAGACTAGAGTTGATGATCTAGAGAACATGAGGATGCATCAGAGTAATCCTAGCCCGTAATGACATACTGCTTGGCAAGTGATAGGCAAAAGTCAGAGTTGAATGCAATTAGCCTTTGATTATGGCTGTTCCAATTTCTGAGGGGTTAGTCAGTTTCACTGCCTTCCATCTACCTCAACTCCACCCTACCCACTTTCACTATCAAAGCCATCACCAATCCTTTGCATATAAATGTTTTTTATCTTCCATTTTGCCCCATCAAAGCTGACCTAGAATGTGTTAAGCCTCCACTTTTGAAGATAGCAGTTAATTGACACCAGTCTTGTGCATTTGATGGAGCAGATTGACTAACTCCTTAGATGAAGTATGTCTGTGCATCTTGTAGATGAAATGCCTGCCTTTGGGTTCTCTTTCTCAAGGAAGCAATTTCACTGTTGGGGGTGTAAGAACGTTTTTTCATTAGAATGAGAAGCAAAAACCCAGCTGACTTACAGATTAGGGGTCTTACCTTCAAATAGAAGTTGTAAGTAATGCCTTGGCACGCACACTTGCCTTGACCTGGGAGGATGCATCTCTATTTCGGGGTCACCTGTGACCCTGGCAGCATCACTCTACTGCTCATAACTCTCCTGTGAGTGCCACATCTCTCCACAGGAATCTTGTACACATGCCTTGTCCTTATAGACTCAGAGAATGAGCTCACCTAAATGTAGCAAAATTCCATCTACCGTCAAGGAGTTGGCCTTTCTCTTCCTGACAGATTTCCTGGGTTGGGTCAGACTGTAGTCCACTGTCAGCTTTAGCTTTCTCAGGTGGGAGTTGGGTCCCAGGCTTTGGCTTCTGATCGCAAGAAATAAATCTCCAAGCTCTACAGGGATTCCCTTGAAGTCCTCCTACCAGGCTTGAGGTAAGAAAGTTCCATTTCTCTGCATCCCTCCTGCAAAGGAAGTGGGTGAGTACTCACTGCATGGCCAGTGTGCTCTCCTTTTAATTTTATTTCATTCTTTATTTTTTTGAAGATTTTTTATTGAGTATTGTATAGCTGATTTATAATATTAGTTTCAGGTGTACAACAGTGATTCAAAATTTTTATAAATTATACCCCATTTAAAGTTACTATAAAATGTTGGCTGTATTTCCTGTGCTGTACAATATATTCTTGTAGCTTATTCATTTTATACACAGTAGTTTGTACCTCTTAATCCCCTACCCCTATCTTGCCCCTCTCTTCCCTTCCCTCTTCCAATTGGTAACCAATGGTTTGTTCTCTATCTGAATCTATTTCTGTTTTGTTATATTTTTTAAGTTCCACATGTAAGTGATAACACACAATATTTGTCTTTCTCATTCTGACTTATTTCACTTGGCATAATACCTTCTAGGTCTATGTTGTTGCAAATGACAGAATTCCACTCTTTTTAATGCCTGAGTAATATTCCATTATATATAAAAACCACACTTTCTTTATCCATTCATCTGTCAACGGACACTTGGGTTGCTTCTGTATCTTGGTTATTGTAAATAGTACCGCTATGAACATTGCAGTGCATTTATCTTTTTGAATTAGTGTTTTTGTTTCTTTGGATATATACCCAGGAGTGGGATTGCCAGATCACATGGCAACTCTATTTTTAGGTTTTTAAAGGAAACTCCATACTGTTCCTCCCTAGTGACCACGCCAACTTACATTCCCACCAACAGTATACAGTCCTTTCTCTCTACATCCTTGCCAACATTTGTTATTTGTGCTCTTTGTGATGACAGCCATTCTTTATAAGTTGCATCCCTTTATAAGTGTTCTCACAATCTCTCCTCAACACACCGGCCTCATTTTGTATCCTTGATCTGGCTAAAAAGTGGCAAGGGGAGCTTAGCTTCACTCTTTTTGAAAATTTTGCATATTGGCAGCAGCAATTATCTCTCACTGTTATCCAGGTGTCAGTCATATTATGTCTGAGTTGAAACTGAGGAAGAGCCCCACTTTGACATCCAGTTATACTTTTATGTGTCTGAAAGATATCTGAGAGACATACACCAAAGTGCAGAAACAGAGAATGCCCCAAGCCATCATCCCAGGAGCAATACAGTAAGAGCTTAACAAAAAGGCAGTTGAAGAGGAAAATTGTTCAGAGAAGTTAGACTTAAGAAAATTGTTAGACGT